AAAGTAATTTAAAATGGCGGGGTGTAGTCGCAATAAACGTCCTCTGACACGGAAAGAACTTGAAGAGCAGGGACAAAAAATTATGGACTAGATAGTGACAGTGAGTTTTTAGACCAGGCTAGTGAACACAGTGATCACGAAACAGACATTGAAGAGGAATGGGACGATGATGACGAACAAAATTGGCAAATTAATAATTCCGAAACTGGTAGTGAATATTCGGGTAAAGAAAGTGATATAGCTGACTTAAGGGATGTGTTTTTATGGCAAAAATAGGTACAAGTGGTCTAAAACTTCTCCCACCTTTTCTCGTACATGTAAGCATAATTTAATTAGTCGTTTACCTGGTGTTATTGGAAAAGCTTGACCTAGTATGCCAGAGAAATCAGTTGATGCTTGGGAATGTATTATTAGCCACGATATATTGCAACAAATTCTTGAGAAAACCAATGAACGAATAACTAATATGTCTTCTAAATATAATTTACACAATTTATCGTGTCAATATACCAATCATCTTGACATAATTGAATTAAAGGCCTTCTTAGGCTTATTATATTAAGCTGGGGTATTTAAATCCAATAATGAAGATTTAAGGTCTTTATTTGCTACGAATGGTACTGGTCGTGATATATTTCGAGCAACCATGTCACTAAACCGATTTTATTTTTTGCTTGGAAGCCTTTGTTGTGACGACCCAGCTACTAGACAAGAACGTATTGCACACGGAGATAAACTGGCAGCTATATCCAATATTTTTAATATGTTTATAATTAATTGCCAGTCCAATTATAGCTGTGGTGAATATCTCACAATAGATGAAATGCTTATTGCATTTAGAGGAAGGTGCCAATTCAGGATGTATCTCAAAAATAAGCCAGATAAATACGGTCTGAAAATGCAGTGTTTAGTAGACTCTAAGACACATTATTTGCTAAATGGTTTTATATATACTGGAAAAGATACACGCAGAGCAAATCCAAAAAAGTTATACATCCCCAGTCTGGATGTTTTGACACTTATTCCACCAATTTCTGGTACAAATAGAAACATAACAGCAGATAATTGGTTTTCGTCCATTGAGCTCATAAAAGAACTGAGAAGCCATAAAATTTATATGTTGGAACTCTAAAAAGAAATAAAAGAGAGGTTCCTGCTGAATTTGAACCCCAAAAAAACAGGCCACCTAATTCTGCCTTATTTGGTTTTTACAGGAAGCGAGAGCCTTGTATCTTTTGTTCCTAAGAAAAATCGTGCAGTGTTGTTAGTGTCAACTATGCATCATTCCAATACAATGGTTAATGGAAAGCCAGAGATTATAAATTTTTACAACGAGACAAAAGGTGGGGTGGATTCATTGGATAAGAAATGTGAATGCTATAAAACTGGCAGAAGAACTCGTAGATGGCCTCAAGTAATATGGTTTCGCATTTTGGACATTGCAGGATTACATGCTAGCGTAATTTTTAATGGAGTTCAGCAAAATCAAATAATGGAAAGAATATTGTTTCTAACCACTTTAGGTCAAGAACTTATTAAGGCCCATTTAACTCGTAGAACTCAGCAAACTTGTTTACCGATAGAAATTCGTAGTGCCATTTTTAAAGTTTCCGGACTTCAGGAACCAATGCCTGCCGCAAATCCAGAGCCACAACGACGAAAAAAGAGGGGAAGGTGTAAAATATGTCCATATTCCAAAAACCAAAAGAAAGAAAGCTCATCGTGCGATAAATGTCGAGTTTTTATTTGCAAAAATCATTCCCGCATATAGACGTTATGCATAAGCTGTGTTGAAAATTCATGCTTGTCATTTTTGAGATACGAAATCTAAATCGATTTTTTTTATTTTAGGTAGGAGCTATTATACCTAGATTTCACCATTGGATATAAAAAAACTGCACATTATTATTATTTTTCTTATAATTCGAGAAAGTGCATAGCTATGTTAATTTGACTGAATACAAAAGTTTTTTTTAAATAAAGTTATATATCTAATTAACCAAATTCGTTTATTTTTATATAAATGTAAAAGTAGCTGTAAACAAAATAATTTAAAATAAAACAAGTTAAAAAAAAGAATATTTTTTATACAAAAAACAATGGGGGGTCAAATTTGACCCTGCCCTGGTACAAATGTTACTATTTTTGGCCATTGTAGTTAAGGGTTAAATCCAGTTTTATTTTAAAGTTGATTTTGGTATGGCTGATACTAACGCCTAAAATAAATTTAATCCAATGTAACTTTTTTGGCGTTTTTCTAAATTTGTTGCCAATGTATCCGATTCTAGAAAATGAAATATGAACTCAATTTTAAAATTAGAAATCCCTTATATAGAAGCACTCCGTTAAATATAAAAACAACCAAAGCTTGAGTGAGCGAATAAATCCTAAACATTTAAGAATTATGGTTTTCTTATGACTTAGGTCGAAAAAAACAAAACCGACAAAATGAAATCCGACTTTTTATGCTTTTATAAAAGCATTTTCACAACGTAATAATTTTCCAAGTATATATCATCTTAAAAAAGGAAATCTACAAAAAAAATTAGCCATAAATTTCTAAAATTCTTGTTGTAAAGTTTACGAAAACAATTTTATTGGTACTACGGAGCGTTACTGCAAAGTTCACTAAACGATCGCCGAGTGCAAGAGCAAGCAAACCAGTGCCAATGTTACGAGAACGGTAAGTGTTGTTTGGTTCATATTTTTAAATAAATTTATAAAAGCAAAAATAAATTTAACAGACGAAAACCATTCCTTGGTATTTGAAAAGATGTCTGTTTTGCTGTCATTGATAGTATTTGGATATCCTTTCCTTAAGCGTCCTATTGTCATTCTTGAACTTCTTCTTTTTTCAGTACCCGATTATCAAACGTTGGCGATCATATTGGCAATAATACCTTTGTTTACGGCGGCTTTAAATAAATAAGCGGTGGTCTCTTAATACCATTCTCGGAGATTTCGGAGCCAGGATGTTCTTCGTCTGCCTGGGCCTCTCCTTCCGACGATTTTTCCCTGCATTATGAGGTATAGAAGTTTCTACCTCTCTGAATATTGCAACATTCGAATTTTTATCGTTTTTATTATTTCTGTGTTCTTTTTGATTCGATGTAAAACTATTTCACTTCTTATTCGATCAACCCAACTTATCCGCAATACTCGTCGATAAATCCACATCTTAAAGACCTCCAATTTTTTCATTAATATCTCTATTAATATCCCTGTATGAAGTTGGAATCCGGGAACGTACTATACTATAAAGGAACTGAAGAAGAATAATTAGCTGGTGTCGGTTTTCTTATCTCTAATCAGCATGTTCATAAGATTAGACAATATATTGGAAGTTATCTATTATAAAGATCATACAAATTTACGCCCCTACATCATCACATACGGATGAGAAGTGGAGATATTCTACGAATCATTGACACAAACACTGAGCAAATACAAAAGCACCTACGCAATCATTATAGGCGACTTCAATGCCAAATTAGGGGAGAAAACTAGAAGAATCAGAAAATAAAATCGGCAACTTTGGATATGGAACACGAAACGAAGAGGAGAAACATTGATGAACTATTGAAAAAGAACGGTCTATATGCGATGAATACCTTTTTCAATAAAAAACCACAGAGAAAATGGATGTGGATCGCGCCCAATGGTTTAACAAAAAATGAGATTGATTACATCCTATCAAAGAAAAGAACATAGTACAAGACGTTACGGTCATAAACATGATTTCCGTAGGAAGTGATCACAGAATTGTTAGAGCCAAAATCAAAATTAACGCCACAACAGGCAGACAAAAATTTAAACCATCTAAAAAAGAGATAGATACAGAACTTTTTAAAGAACGCAAAGAACAATACATAAACCAGCTAAAAAGAAGTGACATATCACAGCTAAAGGGTTTGCAACTAGACGAATTAAAACGATAAAATAACAACACAACGACTAGAAGCAGGCCTGAAGATTGCTAATAAATAAAAGCGAAAACAACAAAAATTAGCGCTAAATCACAAGATATGCTAAAAAAAACGACGACAACTCCCGAATGATAACAAGAGAAATACAGTGAAGTTTACCGAACTGAACAAAACCATAAAAAAACAGATAAAGGAGATTTGAAGAAATACCAAGAAGATCGCATTAAGAAAATCATAGAGAAGAACAAAAGTTTAAAAACAATGAAGACAAATATAGGAAAAAGAAAACTAATCATGCTTAAAGCTGAGAACAATGATAATACACAGACCTATACAATTCTAAAAATGGCCAACCACTATCATCTAAACAGAATCTCTCGAGGCAAATACAAAATGTTGGCTCAGAAGTATTAAGAGAAATAACTGAAGATAAAATCAAAAAATCCATAAACGACATGAAAAGAAATAAAGCGGCCGGTGAAGACAAAATACTGGCGGAACTGCTAAAAGAAAGAGGAGATGCGATAAAAAAATGCTAAAAATACTTCTCAACAAATGTCGGTTTGAAGGTAAAATACCTAAACACTGGAGAAATGCCAACACAATCTTAATACATAAGAAAGGAGACCGAACAGACCTAAACAACTACCGTCTTATTTCCCTTTTATCACAACTACATAAAACCTTCACAAGAATAATAAACAACCGACTAACTATAAACTTGATAACTACCAACCAGTGGAACAGGCCGGATTCAGGAAAGGATACAGCACAATCGACTATCTACATGCACTTAAAATCTTAATTGAGAAAACCAATGAATACAACCTTCCGCTGTACTTAGCATTCGTAGATTATGAAAAGGCTTTCGACAGCATTGAACACTGGGCGGTAGAAGAAGCTCTGGTCAATAGTAGAATAGATTCAAGATACCGACAATTGATACATGATATTTACCAAAACGCAACCATGACCGTAATTCTGGACGACAAATTAATAACGGATAATATAAAAGTTAAACGAGGAGTCCGACAAGGCGATATAATTTCACCTAAACTGTTTACCTTGACCCTCGAAGACATAATAAAATCAACAGATTGGGAAAACAGAGGAATATGTATTAACGGAAAATACCTAAATCACCTTAGATATGCGGATGATATACTCCTGATCTCCTCGGAACGACAAGAACTGGAATTAATGCTGAATGAACTTCATGAAAAATCACTGCAAAAAGGCCTAAAAATTAACTTCACCTACGGAGCACAGACATGGACATTTACACAGGTCAATTTGGATAGGATAAGGAAGGCACATAGAGCGATGGAGAGACAAATGTTGGGTATATCACTTAAAGATAGAAAACGTAACCAGTGGATCAGAACCAGAACAAAGACAGTAGACGCGATAGAACAAGCAGTAAAACTGATATGGAAATAGGCTGGACACAATGAACGTTTCCAAGACGGACGATGGAACAATACCATCGGAAAGTGGCGTCCATACAATGCAAAGAGATCAAGAGGCAGACCACAGATGAGGTGGAAAGATGACATCAGGAAACAAGGAGGTCCCACATGCCAGAGAACAGCTCAAGATAGGGAAAGATGAAGAGAACTGGGGGAGACCTATATCCAACGATGAAAGGATAGATAATAGATTAAAAAAAATCTCTATAAAAGTCCAGATCTCGATACCAAACAGAAGTGTGGAGCATATGTAGCAGCGTATTAATCTGATTTTAAAGTTTAACGTAATATCTTTATTAATTAGCATTTTCTTTAATCTATAGCAGCCGGCTCTAGCTTTGTCAATGCGTATCTCTATTTATGTATTTATATCCCAGTTATCGTTAACGTTTGCGCGCAAATAGGTAATATTGTGGACTTTTTCTAACTCTATTCCATACGCTTTGATGTTGGTTGGTTGTAACTCCGTTTTGCTGAAAACCGTAAGTTTTGTGCGGCAATTTTGTGTGCAGGTCTTCTTCATTGGAGGCAATAAGCCCGTGTCGTCTGCATATCTAAGATTGTTGACAGTAATTCCGTTGATTTTAATGAATGCCTGTGTCTTCAACTAAGGCTTCTTTGAAAATAAATTCGGAGTAGATATTAAAAAGGAGAGGCGATAGAATACAGCCTAACTCCTCGTCATACTTCCACTGCTTCCGTCATGTTGTGTTCAATTCTTATGTTTTCCCATTGATAGCAATACATTGATACAATTCTTGAACTTTGTAATAGATATTTTATTGTTGGTCTGAATTTATTTTTTAGTCGATGTAAGGGTAGATATTTAGACGAAGTAGTCCATAAAAAAATAACTCATACAACGAATACATCACTCACAACGAATACAAATACATAAAAATAAGAAGTTATAGCTAAAAAGACATAGATGAAATCCAGTTTGAATTAAGGAATGCGGTCGGTACCCGTGAGGCAATTTTTGGTTTAAATGTACTTTTTGAAAAATGCCGCGACTAACATAAAGATCTATTAAAAAGCTTTTGATAGGATATAGCATAGAACGTTTCTGAACAATTACAAATCACAGTCGCTAGAAACTTACGTATCATGAAAAACTTATATTCAAAGCAGAAACCAGTCGTACATAATTGTATTCAATACATACTGTAAAGTCTAAATAATTTAATTTGCAAAAGTAAAAAACCCAATGTTCATTATACAAAAAGTTTTTCGAATCATAATTTTTTCAATAGATTTATAAATTTAATAGATACAATTTTTAGAAAAAGGATTTAAACAACAAGTATCTTTAACATAATAATTAAAAAATTCTTGATTATGTGTATAAGTAGCATAGTGTAAAGTAACATTAAACAAAACTGCCAACAATATCGAAAAAAGTGTTATTGCAAAATCTATTACCGATGTCTGGTAGTGAAACGAAAACGTCCTATTACAAAGATAGACAAACAGTTCTTTCATAAAAATAAATCAATAGAAACAGCATAGTGTTTACAATATGAGACAAGGTAACACTGTCATTATTATAGATAAAAGAAAATATAATAACAAATCAATAGAATTATTAAGTAACCAAAATATTGATACAATAAATAAAGATCCGATTTTTTTTTTACTGAGTTACTGCCTCGACAACTATAATCATTGGCATGGTACAGTCAGGTACCTAGTGTAGTGTGTGTGTATGTGTAGAGTAATTGTCTTGATACTTAGCAAAGTCGACGTCATTGTCTTTGCTAAGAGACGCTAATTGTATCCGAACGTCTGCGGTCCTTCCGGTGAGTACCGATCGCACATGGATAGAAATTATTTTCATTGATTAATTTTTAATAAACAAAAATTTCTCCACCATTAAAAAGTATCAAAAACAGATAAAACTGGCGTTAGAAAATTGAAAATCAATATTAAATTCAATAGAACAGAAATTAGACTTATTAGCCTGTTGAACCATATATCCTCACTAGAATAGTGACGACAAGATTGGAGAAAAAAGTAGATGTTTACTAACCGAGAAAGCAGGCAGGATTCCGTTGATATACTCATTGAATAATCTATAGAATCTTGTCCTCTTATCCTATAGATTCTCCTAAGTTAGCATTTACGTATGTTAAAGAGCCACTAGGCTTAAATTGGCCAGAAATGAATCTTTAAAAGCATTTTCGTAGCTTGAAGAATATGCAGCTATTTTCTTATGTCGACCTTTAAGTTTAGATTCTTGCATTTTAAAAAAATCTAGCGGTTTTCCTAATAGGTTCCTATGCTTCAAATTAAAATAGCGCAGCAGCAAAGACAGCTTCATTGAATGATTTAAAAATAACTCAAAACATATTACATATTGCGGGCGAGTGTCTTATAAAAAACTGTGATATTCAGTGAATATATCTGTCTTTCCAAGGATCTTTCAGCTGGCCCATGAGCAACACTTCCACCTGATTCGTAATATAACTGTAAGATTAGAAATGAAGCTTAAATTTCGTACATAAATGTAAAGCATCTGCATTTTTAACTGATTTCTGTCTGAAATAGAAGTTACGTACCAAACAACTCGAGTAAAACTCTGTGTGTAGTGAGAAACACATTAATTTGAAAGCAAACAGATATAAATCTCGCAGTTCAATGTGAAGATTTACGTAGCCAGTTCTCGATTCAAATGAAGCGGTTTTCATCAACATCCGGCTATTGAAGAGTCAGTTTAATCTCAATGCCCATCATGACGAACTCATACTGTCATTTCAGAAGGTTTTCAAGGTTGGATAACTCCTTTATTTTGCTGGCGAACAGTTTTAACTTGGGTGGCAAACGAAAATCCAGAGAGGAAAGGAAAAATGTTTGTATACGGCGTCCTCGGCTCGAAAGCTATTGGTTTTTCGGATATGCAGGTGGCTGCACTTTATTTGCAGACAACGTCCTTTTAGGGTTTTAAACTAATAATAAAAAACGTTTTATACCGAGCTTACATCGCATTTTAGGATATTATACATCAAACATCTAATGTTGTTTAATGTTGTAATATGTTATATATTAAAGCTAAAGTTACTTCTAATCAAATATACAATCAAATGCACAGTTGGATTTCAAACTAAGAGAATCATCAATCATATAAATTTATGGTATTTATATCAATCGACTATTTGAGTTATAATAGCAAATATACCTGGTCACAAATTTTTAGCAAAATTACTTCAACTAATTCATCTGCTACACAGTAGAAATGCATTAAACGACAAGCATTATCAAAAATCTACCTTTATTATATTATAATATACACTGATGGCAAAAGAAAAACCAATTATTTGGATTGAAAGTATTTCTTTCTTAGTCTTACTTAAAATTATTCACCCAATAACGTTTTTACCTCGCTATTTTTTCTTTAGCTGAAGTGTTTTTCTTCGCAAAAACATAAACGATAAGAAAGTTTCTTTATGTGTATTTAATTTTAATTTTTATGTAATTTTTAATCATTTTTTGAATTTTTTTATTTACCCAAAAAATTAAAATGCCAAGATTTCCAAAAGAGGGCGGTTTTGATTAAATCATTGAAGTGTTAAAGCTAATCCATTAACCGTTTTAAGGGTTTCAAAAAGTTGGTTCAATGATGAGACATCTTGGCGCCGTGGAGGATCTAATATTGCAAGGCCGTGATTTGCTCCATGTTAGACTTCTTCCTTTCAGAAATAGACAGGACAGTTTACATCAAGTTAGAGATGATTTCAGCTACAGGAAGGATCTCTCTCTTTCTCGAGCTTATGTGTTAGCCAGTTGGTTATGATTTTAGTTAGTAATTTATACAGATGTGATAGCAAGGATATTGGTCGGCAATTCTCGATGTTTGCTTTGTCTCCTTTCTTGAATAGTAAAATGACTTCGGAGTCGTACCATTCTTGAGGAATCTTTCCTTCATTAATTACTTTATTAAATAAAATATATAGTTTAATACCTGTTTCATTTTTCTGTCACCAATTTTCAATGTTTCAACCGTAATATTATTGGGCATAATTGGGCATATTTTGTTGGGCATGTACTTTTCGATTAGTGAACGGTATATGTATTGACTTCCTTTCGTTAACTTTAATTCGGCATGTTTGTAAGCAAATCTTTATTTTGTCGAGATTGATCTGGAGCAGTTGTGAGGTGATACGGGTTTGAGTGAGCCGCAAGGATTGCTGTGTCGTCTGCATATGTATTGTGACGATGTTTTGAGCCGCAAGATCTGCTGTGTGAAGTAGGTAGAAAACAGGTCCAAGGACACTACTCTGGGGTACTCCAGCTTTAATTGGATATAACTTAGTGCCCTGATCCTTTACTTTTCCTTTACTTTTACAAGGAAATACTGGTCGGAAAGATAGGACTTGAGGACTAGAAAGTAGTTGAGAGGAAGGATTTGTCTTATTTTGTATAGCAGGCCAGTGTGTCTGACTTTATCAAAAGCCTGCGAGATATCCAGAACAGTATTTCTTCTCTTCTAAGGCTTTGTTTATAGAATTGCATATTCGGTTGATTTGCTCAATGGTAGCATGCTGTTGTCTAAATCCAAACTGGTGGTTGGATATTAGCTGCTGTTGTACGAGGATTGGCTGTAATTTGTGTACTAGTAGTTTTTCAAAAACTTTTGACATCACTGAAAGTAGACTGATAGGTCTGTAGAACTTAACTTCTTCTGTAGGTTTGCTTGGTTTGGGCATTAAAATGATCTGTGCAACTTTCCACAAAAGGGAATAGTAAACCACTTCTTAAATTAGGATTAAATAAACATGAAATACATGCGTGTAATAGAGTCTACTAACTTTAGATTGAAACAGTTTTTTATGAAGTTTTTTAAGGTTCTAGGCAAAGAGCAAGGCATGTACACGGTGTAGTACACTGTGTAATAAAACAATTGATATATTTTGCACAAGTTATAAAAGAAACACTATTAAAATAAACAATTAAATAAATCCAAAATTGTAGCACTTAATGAGAAAGTTGCCACTTACTAGTATCATCAGTATCATTTTGCTTCATACCAGACGAATACTGTTTTATAACTCTTCCTCTGTCTAAATAACTTTTTTTATCGAATCTGGCAG